CAGTCAACGATACTAGCTACGAACTTCAATTACGAGCACCGGCATCTTTTCCGTGGAACCACCCTAGCCTATGGAGAACCTGTTGCCGACGTCACGGAGTGCTTCGCGTCCGAGGAAACGCATGAGGATAAGGAATTTCTAGACCACATCGACATCAATTCGACGCTGTCAGACGAGAGAAAGGCTGCACTTCACGACCTTTTAAGGGAGTTTAGATCTTGCTTCGCCTCTTCTTCTAAAGTCCATCAAACTCACCTCACGAAGCATCGAATTATTACCGACGATGACGTCCGCCCCATCCGGCAGCAGCCTTATCGCGTTTCTGCCAAAGAACGCGAGGCTATTCAGACACAAGTAAAAGAGATGCTCGATGACGGGATTATTCAACCATCCAGCAGCGCTTGGTCCTCGCCAGTCGTTCTAGTAAAGAAAAAAGACGGAACGCTGCGATTCTGTATTGACTACAGGAAGCTTAATAGCGTCACAAAAAAGGACGTCTACCCGCTTCCACGAGTAGACGACTCCCTCGACAGGTTACGACGTGCGAAGTATTTTTCGTCCATCGATCTAAAGAGTGGCTATTGGCAAATTGAAGTGGATGAACGAGACCGAGAAAAAACCGCGTTTGTGACTCCAGACGGACTTTACGAATTCCGAGTTCTTCCCTTCGGCCTCTGTTCTGCACCAGCCACTTTTCAGAGGATGATGGACACAGTTTCGGCTATGAAGAGCTGAAATTTCTGGGACATGTCATTAGTGCAGATGGAGTGCGACCTGATCCAGACAAAACTGCTGCTGTCGCCGCCTTCCCTGTCCCATCAGATAAAAGAGCAGTACGCCGTTTCCTCGGCTTGTGCGCGTATTATCGCCGATTTATCGCCAACTTCTCTAAGATAGCTGAACCTCTTACGCGACTCACCCGAGATGACGTACCCTTTACTTGGGGCGTAGAACAAGATACAGCGTTCACAGAGTTACGACAGAGAATGCAAACAGCCCCTGTTCTTGCCCATTTTGATGAGGACGCTGCTACAGAAATTCATACAGATGCCAGCAACGTCGGACTTGGCGCTGTCCTTGTACAACGACACGGCGGCGTTGAGCATGTGATAGCTTACGCCAGTCGTACTCTTTCTCGAGCTGAGACCAACTATTCTACGTCAGAAAAAGAATGCCTCGCAGTCGTGTGGGCGACGACCAAATTTCGGCCTTACCTCTACGGTCGTCCCTTCAAAGTGGTGACTGACCACCACTCGCTCTGCTGGCTGGCAAATCTCAGAGATCCATCCGGCCGTCTCGCACGGTGGAGTTTGCGTTTGCAGGAGTTTGACATTACGATTGTGTACAGGTCAGGGCGCAAACACGAAGACGCCGACGCGCTTTCTCGAGCACCTGTGGGGAACGCTGTCAGGGGCTCCGAAGATGAAGATGCCTTTCTCGGAGCAGTTAGTGACTCCGAATTTATGTCAAGCAGCGGGCAGACGATGAATTACGCCCAGTCATTGATTCCCTGGAAGGCCGCAACTCTAAGGTCCCTCAACACATTGCTCGCGAACTGTCCTCTTTTTGTCTAAGAAGAGGCATTCTTTACAAGAAAAACGCCCGTGGTAGCGACAAGGCTTTCCTACTCGTTGTTCCTACCGACATGCGTGATGAAATCCTTCTGGCGTGCCACGACGAGCCCACGTCAGGACATTTGGGCTATTCGCGAACTCTCGCCCGAGTACGCCAACAGTATTACTGGCCGCGACTATCAACTAGTGTACATCGATATGTGAAAGGCTGCCGTGAGTGCCAGCGCCGCAAGACTCCGCCTGTGAGACCCGCGGGCCTGCTCCAGCCGATCGCACCACCACGGACACCGTTTGACCTCGTGGGAATGGACCTTCTCGGGCCCTTCCCTTTGTCGTCCTCTGGGAACAAGTGGATTATAGTTGCGACAGATTATCTCACGCGTTATGCTGAAACAAAAGCGTTACCCCGTGGCACGGCCTCTGAAGTCGCGCAGTTCTTCGTGCACCAAATCGTCCTACGGCATGGTGCCCCGTCATGCGTGATTACGGACAGAGGGACGTCGTTTACAGCACGAATGATGGAGGACATTTTTAAACTGAGCTGCACAAGTCATCGAAAAACAACGGCTTATCATCCGCAATCCAATGGACTGACAGAGAGGCTTAACAAGACCATAGCGGACATGCTGTCAATGTACGTGGACGTACAACATAAAACCTGGGACGAGATTCTTCCATACATCAAGTTTGCTTATAATACGGCAACGCAAGAAACAACGCGATTTCCGCCTTTCCGACTTGTTTACGGACGCAACGTGCGAACCATGCTCGATGCTATGCTTCCGTGCGACGAAAGCAATGAACTTGCTCAAGATGCTGAGCAATACACTCAATACGCCGAAGAAGCTCGTCAGCTAGCTCGCATAAACACCAGGCACCAACAAGATGCAGACGCGCGACGTTACAACCTCCGCCATCGAAATGTCACCTACCACCCTGGGGACCGAGTGTGGGTGTGGATCCCTGTCCGGCGACCAGGCTTATCCGAAAAACTCCTAAGCCGTTATTTTGGACCGTACAAGGTTCTTAGACGAATCACAGATCTTACCTACGAGGTATTTCCGGACGGCGCAGCGTCTTCTCGTCGACAGCTTCGACCCGAAACCGTGCATGTCCTTCGGCTGAAGCCCTACTTCACACAGTAGCCCTTGTGGTTTCACGTGCTACGACATGCCGTGACATTGCGTTGCCGCTGCTGTTTGTGTTCTCGTGTGTTTTTGTGCCCTTTCTTTTTGCGCTTGGCGGAAGCGTTGGCGAAACTTCCTCATTTGCGCTGCGAGTAGTGGCACTCTCCCTCTTTTGGTTCTCTATATCTGCGTGTGTATACCTTCATTTTTTTTATTTACGAGCATCGAGTCGATGCTTTCAAAGGGGGGGACTATTGCCACATGGTTTGCTTGGGTGAGATCGAAGAGTGAAGGAAGAAAAAGACGATCTCTCTGAGCCGCTGCTTGAGTAGTCGACTAAACGAGCCCATTTTTTTATCAAGTTTGTCGAGAGTAACGTGACAATATGAATATACGCGACATACGATTCGGTAGACGTCTGTGCCCGAGTATTCAACTGAATTAGCGCAGTCGTCTGCCATGCTGCGGTGTTGCCACAAGGGTCAAGAATCTTTTCTTTGAAAGTCTCCCAGCTGCTGATGTCGGATTCGTGCGTCTCGAACCTCACCCGTGGGGGCCATCAAGGTAAAAAAAAAAAAGCACGTTGACAAGCATGCGTGTCGGGTCCCACCTATAGCCGGCGCTGATCAGTTCATACACGTTAAGCCACTGGTCAACGTCAAAGCCATCCTGACCGAAAAATACGCCAGAATCATGAGCAGGAGGTAGGACAACGTAGGTAGGAGTCGCAGAAGAGGTGGGCGGTGAAGACGATGTTCTTTGAATCTATGACATGGTTGGACTCGTAATGATACGTCCGTTGCGCAGCTTCGTGATGGGTTTCAGGGAAGAACCAGCACTTCCACCACAAATATGCCACGTAAAATGAAACGAGACGTGAATATATTGGTTAGTGTATTAGCACCATTCAAGATGGAGCACAGCATGCACGGCGGGCAATTCCAGTCCACTTCTTCGATCATTGTCATCTTCTGATCGCTATGTCAGCTACGTAGCAATATTAATGAAGTGTTGCAAAGTCGTTATTCTGATCCAACTGTGCAGGGAGATGCTGGAACGCCCGCATGAGTGGTGTCTCGGGCTCAACAAAACCAAAGCAAGAGCACGGCTTCTTATGTATTGGCCCAGCATGCACAAACAGATTCAAGAGCTACGTGCGAAGTGCAGCACGTGTTGCCAGTTTGCTTATCACCAACCGTAGGAGCCTGTAATCAACAGCCCTGTCCAAATCTTTTCATGGGAAATAGTCGGAATGGATTTGTGCCAACATTCGTAAGCTAGCTTCGTACTTGGTAGTGTACTACAATGCATATTCTAATTATCCGGAAGTGTAGCGCCTGGCGCAGACTTCGAGCAAAAGCGTGACCAGAAAAGTTGAGATTATATTTGCAAGGTACTGCATCTAGCTGGAGATATACTCCCACGGGGGTCCGCAATTCACCTCCCGCGCTTTTCGCAATTTCGCGCAAGTGTGTGACATGTTATTTCCCGTCCCAGGTTCCCGAGAGCGAATGGTCTGGCCGAAAAAATTAGTGTACATGGTCAAACGCCCCCTGAAGAAAACTATGCACGCCAGGGAGCCGTTCTGGGTGGTTCTCCCTAATTATCGTCTTTCGCCCCTGAAGGCCAGCCAAAGCCTGACTGAGATGTTGATGGGGAGGTGGCTACGCGGACGCCTACCAGATCTCGCTGTTCAACCTGCAGCAGATGTAAAGAAGCACATGCAGAAACCCAGAACTGGCACCTCGCTCCCAGTTTTGTACAGAAGAGACACCGTGCGGATTTTGGATGACTCCGGGTGGACTGTCAAACCACCATAGAGGACCACGTCGATGCCTACTCTTACGTGCTCTGGACCGAAGAGGGACGCACCCTAAAGCGCGAGACAGACGTGCGATTTTCTTTGCGATGCGACGTGCGGCGTCGCATGGTGCGGCGTGCCGCATGCGACGTTTTGAGACACATGGAGCAAAAACTGCCGGTTCGCCGGAAAGTTGAGGTTCAGTGTACTAGAATTCTAGTACACTGTAAGTTGAGGCTCCGCCTTTCGCAGCGTTGCCTGACCAGCAATGTGTTTACAAAAGAAAAAGCACGTAAAAGTCCTCTCTTTCTCAACTTTAACATAACGAAATATAAAACAAAACTTGGAAAATTTAGTTACTGCAATCTATTCCGAGAAACGTAGTGAGTTTGTATACGCACGTCTGTGTAACTACCACTCAGTTTAGAAGGAGTCGCTTCAAGATGTTGGCAACAGTGGCAGCAGTCAGCATTGTGTCACGGAGGAAAAAAAAAGTGCGTTGTGTCGTGTTTGATTAGAACACGTGATTAGACCTTCCTCCGTGGATTAGAAAGACCTTTCACTCTAGTTCGGCTGCCTGTTATTGTTGTTCGCGGGTCGCCGACATGATTATGACTAAGCGCCGAAAGCGACTGCTTCTGTTAAAGAAGAAGGTCCTTTTGGCCCAAGTGATGCTGGAGGATCAACGCCAGCGGAGGTGGTGGGTGCGCCCGTCATGGCGAACGCGGCACGCCGAGAGTGAATTCTTCACCACGGTACGTATACCAGTTATCGCATTACCGCCAATAAATTACATTGCTAGTTGCGCACGCATTAAAACATTTCGCTGCGCGTTAAAATGAAGCATAATACTAACTCAAGATGGTTCCTCGTCAGAGCATTAAATGTGCATTGCGATTCTATATTTTCTAAGAAAGCGTTGTTTGAAAACGTTCTCGTCTCGTTTGTTTATGTGATTTTAACGTTTTTCAAAAGTAAGTTGATCATCGACAGTGCGGGCGAGCTGTCAATTAAAAAGTGTTCGCGACGACAAAGGACACACGGCAGCACCCCACTCCGCGTGGACCAATCAATAATTGTGACTGCCTGGTTATCAGGCTGGTTCGCGCCTCCCCCCCCCCCCCCCCTTTTTTTTTCATATTAGTGCACAGCCGTCCTGTGCTCAATACACTGCTTGCTCCGATAAGAAGAAGAAGAATAACTTTATTTATGAAGTCCAGCGAAGTTGATTTGGGGCGGGCCTAGGCGTCGGCCACGAGCCCTTGGGCTCGGGCGGCTTCCTCGGCTCGCTGGACGGCCCACAGTTGTTGTTCGAATGAGGAGCTGAGCAGAGCCCCCTCCCAGCGTGTCCTGCGGTCCGAAACTGCCTCTTCGTGGTTTTCATCGTTGCTTTCATCTAAACTCGAGCATTCCCATAGTATATGTGAAAGTGTCGCCCTTTCATCGCAAACCTTGCATTTTTCTGTTAAATACAGATCAGGGTAACAGAGACTAAAGAGAACTGGATTCGGATAAGTATATGTTTGCAGTTGTCGCCACGCAACTGCCTGTTTTTTATTTAACCTGTTGTGTGGCGGAGGGTACTTTCGCCTTTCTAGCTTATAGTGCTGCGTTATTTCGTGGTAACTAGTCATGCGGTCCCCCCACTCCCACTCCCCCCCGCGTGGAACTTCGTCCGAGGCGGCGTCGGCGTTCGCAACGGCTCGGTTCGTGAGTGCTCGAGCCGCCGCGTGCGCCGCCTCGTTGCCGGCCAGCGGGGTTTGTGTGTGTGCGGGGGTCCATATGACGAAAGTGTCATTTTTTTCCCGAATTTTGTCTTCGTTAGTCATTAGGATTCGCAGCGCCTCTCGGGAGACACGACCGTTCGCATAGTTGCGTATCGCTGCTTGCGAGTCACTAATTACTACTTCGGCCTCAGTGGTCGCCACCGCGAGTGCTATGGCCACCTCCTCGGCCGTCTCGGTCAGTGGCGTTTGCACCGTAACGCTCGTCATGCATGTCCCTTTACCGTCGACCACCGCGGCCACGTAACCACACCTTCGCGCGTATCTGGCCGCGTCCACGAATACCGCTTCCTTGCAATTTACGAATTTTCTCTGCAAGTCCTGCGCTCTCTGGTTTCTTCGGCCGGTGTGATGTTCCGGGTGCATATTTTTGGGCAACGGCGGAATCACTATCTTTTCCCTTACCATCATGGTTATGTCGGCTTTTTCGCCTTGCTGCGTGTGATAGTGGATTCCCAGTTTTTCGAGGATGTACCTGCCCGTTTTAGTCTTAGAAAGTCGTTCATACTGTGCTACGTTGTGCGCTTCTATTAATTCGTCAAGCGTGTTGTGCAAGCCTAGTTCTAATAATTTCACTGTGCTTGTGTTCATGGGTAAGCATAAAGCTTGCTTATACACTTTCCTGATTAAGCAATCTAATTTTATCTTCTCGGCGACGTGCCAATTCAAGTAAGAGGCAACGTACGTGATTCTACTGAGGACAAAGGCTTGCACAAGTCTAATAGTGTTCCCTTCTTTCATACCACTATGTCGGTTCGTAATTCGTTTTAGAAGTCGGATTGTCTGATTTACCGCGTGTTCCAACCTGCGAACAGTTTCGCCATTGTGGCCATTGGCTGCAATATACAAGCCTAACACGCGTATAACGTCTACTTTGGGAATGACGTGGCCTTCCGAGGTCGTTAGCTGTATCGCTTCCTCTGCGTGATTTGCGCTTTGTTCGCTGTATGATAAAAATAAATATTTCATGCGTACCTTAATTCCATAAACTTTCATCCTAAAAGTGAACCACTTCTTTCATTATTCAGATTGGCACAAATCCATTTCACCTTGCATGGAAGTCGTATTCTGCCGGCCACATTTTGTTGAGGGCAATTTCGGGCAATCAGTGCACAACTACTTCTTTTTATTTACTTAAAGTTATTCGATTGTGCTTGTGACTGCCAGAGATATGATTTCTCATGATTACAAATAAGCAGCGCACGACGTTTTACACAAAGAGAGACGATAGGGACACCGCTGCACTCTCAACTAGTTTATTTCGTAAACGACCTTGGTTATTATACAACAAGACGGTGTACCACGTGCTACAATGACAACGTATTTTCTAAAAAGCCAACATCGCAATCGCTCAAAGTAATCGATGCTTGGCTTATACAGTAATCTTTTCTTTTTGCGATGTGGAAGGCCTCGATCACTTCCCTTGTCATCTTATCTCTGTGGCTGGAAAGAATTTTAGTCTCAGAGAACAGCGGGGAACAGCCACATTCTAAGCAATGCCGTCTTAAGTGCGAGTAAGCATTATTAGCTAATGCTCTCTTGTGCTCCGTTAACCTTGTATTTATGCACCGGCCTGTTTGACCGATGTACATTTTCCCACATGACATGAGCAAACAGTAAACCACCGCGGTTCTGCACTCAACAAACAAAACACTGTGCTTAACAGAGCACCGACACCTATCCTTTTTTGTCAATCGCTTCCTATCTAGCCTAGCGCATATCTTTCCTAGTTTGTTAGGTGCAGAAAAAACAACTTGTAAGCCATACCGGCTGCCTACATTCTTTAGATTATGTGATATACTGTGCGCATAGGGTATGGAGACACATTTCTTTTTCCTTTCTTCATAATTCCTCTCAATTTGAGGCTGCTCCGAAGATATATTCTTGCGCAGCCTCAAATTGAGAGGAATTATGAAGAAAGGAAAAAGAAATGTGTCTCCATACCCTATGCGCACAGTATATCACATAATCTAAAGAATGTAGGCAGCCGGTATGGCTTACAAGTTGTTTTTTCTGCACCTAACAAACTAGGAAAGATATGCGCTAGGCTAGATAGGAAGCGATTGACAAAAAAGGATAGGTGTCGGTGCTCTGTTAAGCACAGTGTTTTGTTTGTTGAGTGCAGAACCGCGGTGGTTTACTGTTTGCTCATGTCATGTGGGAAAATGTACATCGGTCAAACAGGCCGGTGCATAAATACAAGGTTAACGGAGCACAAGAGAGCATTAGCTAATAATGCTTACTCGCACTTAAGACGGCATTGCTTAGAATGTGGCTGTTCCCCGCTGTTCTCTGAGACTAAAATTCTTTCCAGCCACAGAGATAAGATGACAAGGGAAGTGATCGAGGCCTTCCACATCGCAAAAAGAAAAGATTACTGTATAAGCCAAGCATCGATTACTTTGAGCGATTGCGAAGTTGGCTTTTTAGAAAATACGTTGTCATTGTAGCACGTGGTACACCGTCTTGTTGTATAATAACCAAGGTCGTTTACGAAATAAACTAGTTGAGAGTGCAGCGGTGTCCCTATCGTCTCTCTTTGTGTAAAACGTCGTGCGCTGCTTATTTGTAATCATGAACAATCACCAACTCGCCCAACTTTCGGTGTTACTGAATATGATTTCTAATTTGGTCATCTGAGACTGACTCTGGAACATATTGAAGTAATCTCCTTGGCCTGTATGGAGCAATACACATGCAATATACGCGACACATATTTCTAGAAGTGTTGAGCTATGGATATGCTGCTCGCTTAGGTGCCAGTCAACATAAATCTGCATAGTTGTTTTGTGACCTTTGCTGGGAAAGAAAAAAAAAAAGCGAAATTATTGTTTCTATTTCAGATGAAAAAAATGCATGCTGGGGACCCAGAATACTTCAAAAAGTACTATCGCATGTCCCCATCACAATTTGACTATATCCTCAGTTTGGTCAAGGAAGACTTGGAGAGAGAGACCTTCATCGGAGAGCCCATATCTTCAGCAGAGCGACTTGCTATGACCCTGAGGTAATACAATTTGCCTGGAACCTTGTGGCAGTACACTTGTATTTTAAATGTTTGTTTAATGCATGATGAATATTTTTAATGCCAAATGTACTATAGGATTACATGCATAATACACATTTGTAGTGCATTACTTCACCTACTTAGTAAATACTGTGATTGTTTCTCATGTAAACTTGCTCATAATATTATATCAAGTATGCCGATTCAGTTTGCTTTGTCAGCACCTGTCTATGTTACCCATGGCCAATTGAACTGGCGTATATTGCGACACCCATGCACAGCAATGGACAATGTGTCATGCATAGGGTACTAAACGGGCGCATGCACGAGGAGACAACACGGCAGCGGTAGGCGACGGAGTCGGTAGGTACCCGGGCATGTCGGTGGCGCATTTTGGAAGTGACGAAGGAGAAATCTTACAATGTGTCCTGCAGTTCATTTCCGATTTGATTGTGCAGCATCACCTTGATTTCAGCTGCATGTGGCCATTGTGTTTGAAGATATGTAAGCTGTAGGCACTCGAACTTTCTTAAAAAACTAGCTAGCTGATGTGGCTAGGAGTTCCTCAAACCAGTTGGCAGTAACGAAGTCATGGCAGGACAACGGATAATGTTTTCAAACAAAGGCACAACAGTTTTGTAAGCGTAATCTGTGAGTTGCAGAACTTTTACACCTCTATTGAAAGTATTGCGTTGTGTTGATATATATTATGATTACGTACAAAATTGCTTTGCCTACACAGCTATGCACTTCAACTTCAATTTGCATAATTTATGCTACTTTTTAGTGATGACAATATGACAAGAGAAATTGCTTGCCAATATTTCCAAAAATATCTATTGTAGTTAATCTCTTTTACCACATTTGTCAGTACCTCACATGGTCATTGGGCTAATTGGATGTGCGCACATAAAAACATTGCTGCAGAATAGAATGTGGAGGGCACATTAGTTGTTTAAGGAGTACTTCATCAATGGCAAGTTTTGAGTGTTGTACGACTTCCTGTTATTACAGAGCTTTAGTGCCATGGCCCCTAAAGTACTTGCATACACAAGCTCATTTTGTTACTTGTTTTGTTTTTTTTTCTTTTATGTGACTGTTGAACAGATAGAAGAAAGGACCTGTGCAATACGATGCTCAAACAAATATCCAGTGGCTAGAGACCCTTGGAACTAAAGGTTTCTGTTCTCATGCAACTTTTGTGCCTGTAATACACCTAAGGACCACATGTAATAGCTATACAGAATATCCATACTTGGTTCGAGTTGCAATTGAATTTTGTTATGGCAATATAAAATCTTTATATGGCTATGCAATGGCTGACTAGAAATCAACTAAATTTAAATGCAGGTATCTGTACTCAGGAGCCCTCATGCAAGACATTGCCCTATCATTTCGTGTGGGCATATCCACAGCTCGTGAGGCCGTGCAAGAGACATGTGCGGCACTTTGGTTCAGACTGAAACCACTGTACATGCCTGTAAGTAGACGAACATGTAAAGGTGCGGCTGAATATTCAAAACTTGTAACTATAGTTTCCTTCCAAAGGCGATCACACACATGCCATCAGTATAATGATTTCCATATCACAGTGTGGTGTGTGGAAGGTACAGTAAGTCATAGAGTCGGAATCATTAACAGATCTCGGTAACTAATGGCCGCACAGCTGCACATTTGTAATGAACTGTGAAATGCACTTGTACATTTTAACAAAATTAAATCACCAATTGCTGACGGTCAACTAAATGAAACAGTGCCTCAATGTGGCACCAACACATGCATCAGAAGCACCACCTTTACAGAATCAACTTGTTGTGACACAACGTGGTCACTTCAGCAATCGCATGTGCAAGTTATGCTTGAAGTTGAGATGTCGCATTTTGTGCCATGCCTGCTGTACATGTGTATTCACTGTAACCTAGTTGGCTGTGTTTCGTCTCCTCAGTTTTAGTTCCTGTTTCTGGAGCATTATTCGTGCCCTACTTTTCATGAGCATATTCAATTGCAGTAGTTAATTCTTTCTTCACCCTACTTGTCAGGCTATTTTATTCTTCTTACTGATCTTGTTGACTTGGTAAAGCGATACTAATATAACAATTTTCATTTCTTCTTTTCTTCAATCAAATGAAAGGCCATTCCCTTGAAGAACCTAAAAATGTTGTGCTAAGTACGAGTGCACTTAGCACTTGATTTGGTTATGTCACTTGTTAATGAAAACAGAGGTCAAAACCTTCAAATGCCTTTCTTGAAATCCATTAAATAAATACAAAGATGATGTTGCAGACATGCAAGAAGTATGCTGTGTAGTTAGCAAAGCATACTGAAAAAAGAATTGTGTGTTCTGGCTATCTATGGCACCCTGTGGCTTGCCAAATGTAGCCAGAAGTAAAAGTCAAGTCCACTTCAACATGTCAAGCTTTGTACCTTACTTTAAAATGCACACTTCTGCATGCTTCAAGCCATCGTGAGGATTCGTGAGCTGTCTTTAAGAGGAGAGGAATGACCTTTCATTGAAATAGGTGCATATGGAAGGTTATTAGTTTGCCAGTGGCCTGAAGGGGTCAGCAGTGCATAGCGGCTCAGGCAAAAACTACAGTTGGCCATGGTACATGAAGCTAAGGTGGACAGTTTTTGATGTTTGAGGCTTCTTCTCAGCAATAAAATTGAAGCTTTCACTGGCCTAGATATCTCCACTTCCATGGCACTGATCCCACAATGTTATTCAATTCAATTTTTATTTCATCCCAAGGATGAGGGCAGGCTCGGGAGAAAAGTGACGTTTTGTCACTTGAGGAGTACCCAAACCTCCCTAATACATGGCAAGCAACGTGGACATGGGTAAAGAAACATAGGCCATGAACATATAGGCAATGAACATAGGCCATGAGATGTTTGGCGCAGTACAAGTCGGAAGATGCACGTACAGTAATGCTATGTACAGTGACTAATATGCGTAAGTAGTTTCTTTCGGCACAAATTCCGAAGTACAATGCAAAATATGACAGAATACAAAATACTGTATATATGACAACAATGCTATGCATAGAAATTGTGTGTACACACATACACATAAATATACACACATATATGCAGATGCATATACAGACACACACACACACACACACACACATATATATATATATATACATACACATATATATATATACACATATATATATAGACAGTTCCATGAATGCCTGGACCACCATTTTCTCGATTTTCACGATAAAAGCACTTCCCTAATGTCACGTGCACTGCATTTCTCAAGGATTATTTTTGCTTCCAGTGATGATTTATCATTACTGATAAAATCACTGCTTCTTTCATTTTAGGAGCCAAAGACGGAGACATGGCTGCATATCGCTGAAGGATTCAGCCGGACATGGCAGTTTCCGAACTGTATTGGGGCTGTTGATGGAAAGCACATACAGATTAAGTGTCCTCCGAACTCTGGAAGTATGTACTTCAATTATAAGGTTAGTATGTATAATGTTCTGATGCACTCTGCAGACAATTTAATTCTGTTAAAATTGCTGTCTATTGCGCATGAATTTTATGTGCCGTTGTAAGCACTGAACACATAGTACGTTTCGGTGTGCTGTCTGAATGCTTGCATCAGATGTTTCGATGTGTGGAATATGATGCCATGATCTTTACAAAGCACACATGCACGTTGGTTTGTCATACAGTACATCGTACTTGCAGCAAGTATGATAGTATTCTCTAACGCTCTCACGAACTTTCTTTTGGTAACATGTATTATAACAGGGCACTCTAGGTAATACAATGAGAATATTATTAGGAGTTTGCTCCAACTTTTTTTTGTCAAGTTTGCTTTGAACTGTTACAAAATAATCAAGAAATAATACAATTGGCTTCACACCAAAAATTTTGCTATTCACATAGCTCTACCTATGTCCCTTTCTCTTCTTGAAGCTAGGATGGAATGTTGGTGCTTGTGCAGTTATAAATTACATTACAGTTTTCATGCATGCATTGTTAAAAGGTAATCTTGTGTTTGATTAGAAACACTAGATGTGAACTCTTATGTTGCAACCCCATTAATTTGGCCTCTCAGCACATCAGCATTCTAAAGCATCTAGAATAATGTTACACAATCCTGTTGTATGCATACTCATTGCAGGGCACATACTCCATTGTTCTGCTTGTCGTGGTCAACAGCGACTACAAGTTCGTGATCGTCGACGTTGGTGCTTACGGCAAACAGAGTGATGGTGGAGTCCTAGAACAATCAAAGTTCGGGTGTCGCTTGGAGAATGGAAAGCTTCATATCCCGCGAGACCTGGAACTTCCGAACACGTCCCACTAATAAATTTAAAATAAAGCATCAAATTTAGAAACACAGTTCGCAAAGGTAAACAAAGTTTTTCTAACGGGCACAAAAGCTGAGAACAGTGGCCGGCAAAAGGTTGTCAGCAATAGAGAAACCAAATGCATGAGTGAGTGAGAAACCATACTAAGAAACTGCACCGAGCGCACTGGAGTGGGGACAGTGCATGTCATCAGGTGCTTTCTTCTGCGTCTTCAAGGGGTAACCATGTACTATGTGGATCAGTTGCTGACAAATGGTGCACCTTGCCCGAGAAACGCACAATCACAAAAAGCACAAACAGGCCCTTCAATGTGTGATTGTGATCAGGTTGTAGAAGGAGAGTAGAAGTTGTTTTGAGGCCACAGCACTCTGCCCCAATTCGTGTAGGTGTTGATTGGACAGCACTACAAGCAGGCAGCGCAATGGCAAGTCAAGGCGAACTCCCTGTATCATGGGCATTTGCTCAGAATAGGACGACCAACAGGAAGGCACTGAAAAGAATGCCCCACTACAGCATTCTAAGGCTCTGCTATGTGTTTAATATTGTTTTGTACTGTCATAAATTACTTAGTTGTAATAATCAAGCCCATCATTACATTGTTTCCGGCGGCATCTAAAACTGTTCTTACTAACAACATGCAACACCTGAATATATATGTATGTGTATATATATATATGTGTTTAAATACAGTTATATGCATTTATGTGTACGTGTATAGGTTATGAAGTAATACTGAATTAGTTAGTGATATGTATGTGTTATGTTATAGTCATTTAATCCAATTAGTTATCTCCTGTTTTATCACTTTCATGTAGATATCTTGCAATAATAATTTTCATTACGTTCATTTTGTTTTATTCGCTTGCTGTTTTTTCCTTAGTTGCCAATCTTTGTTCTATATTATTATACATAAATTCACAGGAGGTCCCCCTAACAGTTTTCACTTTGGGACCTCCTTCTGTATTATATCAACTTTTTACTTGCACTGTATTGTACTGAATAAACTGACTGGATTCCCAGAAAAAAAACAGCTAGTAAATTTGCCTTGCTTACATGCAGATAAAAAAACAGTTATGTGGTATTACCAATGGATAAACTGGGAGGTCTTTCTGTGTTTTGAGTTTCACCATACGTGTTCAGCAACATCTCCGTTTAGAGTGTTTAGACTTTTGATAGTGACTGGTTATATTAACCAAGGTACTGTGGATGATGCTGTTATTGTATAATTAAATTCAATCAAGCACTTCTTGTGTCATATAACTGCAGTGTCCGGCCAGCACAGTACATTGCTCCCAAAAGCTGTCTCAATTACAATAGTCACAAAGCAAAGTTAAAAGAACTTGCAAACCTAAAATAATCCTGAACGTTTGTCAAGCCAGAACACACTAAAACAGGTGCTATATGCTACACTACCACTTGGCTATTGCATCTGTACTTCACTATCGCATTTGTAGCTTGTCGTTCCTTGTTTCTTTGTATCTGATCTTCCGGTGCAATTTTTTTAATGATTATTCCAGAGTATCGGCCCAGTCTCTGCATTAACGATATTCGTGCCCTGGCTAATAATGCGGTTTGTGCTAAGTCGTAGCAGATGACATGGTTCAACTCTACGCTCTTTAAGCGTCTGCACATGCATGAGCTGCTGCCGGTGCACGATTGCAGCGCTAGTCGCATCACGATGCGAGGTGCTCCGAGATTTCCCCCAATAGCGAAATGGCCTAGTATTCTATAGAACCCCAAGCATTCAGAAAATTGCACATTATGCACCTTAGTGTCGTCCATACGAGAGGGGCACTTTTGGTGTAACAACAATGCACTGCAATTAGCAGCATATCCAGCAGAATAGGTCTTGCTTGTCATCAGAGGCAGAATATACGATTCTTTTGAAAGCTTGCAGTAGTATTTTTTTGAACACCAAGCCTCTGTGAGGCCACGTGGCCTTTAGCTCTTGCGCCACTTTCTGAAAAATAAAAGATAATAAACTTTCTGTAAAACTTAAATAAGTGTAAAAAAACAATAGTTGTATTGCCTATGCAATAGCTACACGTTCTGGGTGCTACATGGCCAATAGCAATTCACTTGCATAATGGTTCTGCCTTGATTAAAAAATTTGTATATTGTGCTTCATATGAGAGAAAACTGTACTTCAGCATCAATCGTATACTCTGCCTCTGATGACCTATTTTGTATCACCTCCTTTTCACGAAGTACTAGGGCTCAAGTGCTGCTTAGGCCCCAAACTTTTCATGAAGACAAAACAAACTTTACGCAATCGGGAAAAAAATCAAAAAATTTTATTTACAATACTTCTGGCAACACTCATTACTGTTGGCTTGCTTCAGCCGGCCCTTGGATCGTCAACAATACAGTCGGCACTTGTCCTACTTCATAGTGCATTAGCACTTCAAGTAGGTGCATTTTGCATTGCCCCCTCAGGTGTTCAGGCACCTTGTCCATGTGCTCCGCCAGCGAAAGTAAAAATTGCTCTGTTCTGTTTTCTTTCTCGTTTTTCAATTCCTCATCAACTTTATCCAGCAAGCTGGCTGCTTGTTTTCTTTTGTTTGTTTTTCTTTGTGTTGTGCGTCACGTGTGACATAGTGGGATGGGCGTTAAAGAGGTAGACAGGACAGGTGTTGAGGTAGACGGTTGTGTGGAAAGGGTGGGAAGAAGGGGAGCAGAAATAGGTCGAAAGAAAAAGTTACTGTTATCTAAAGTGGGAGAAGCGGGTATGGTGTGGTCTGGTGTGTCAGAGCAATAATTACTTTCGCTCTGAGCACTGGCACACCGAGGGGGCAGCATTGATGCAAACACCACTGCTTCATTGTCGGTGGCATCTCCGCTCTCTTCGTCCAGGTTACTGCTTGTTCTATGAGGAAAACAAGCAGCTACATAATTAGTGCCATGAAGAATACAGCAGTAACAAATAGATTTCTTTGAATGCATGCACTAGCTACTATGCATTATTGCACCGAAAATAAGCATCTAGCTGCTCTATCAATCTCTATGTTGCCAGTCTGAGATAGTTGGGGTTACATTACGATTTTGCGTAATGGAGAATGTGTACTTGATGTAAAAATAACCTGCAAATTAACAATAATAAGACCAAATTTGTCGTCTTTTCCTCATATCAGCATTGTCTCTACAGCATTTGTAGGTCTGGAACTTGATCACCATCTACATCTCTCCAACATGAAAAAGAAAATGGCCTAAAGTGTACACACTCTCAACAAAGCTCAACTGCATTTCTTCTTCTCTACTCTCATATCACTATTATGCTTTTGTTCATTCCCTTCTTAGCTACAACATTGAAGAACAGTGGGGGCAACATGTACAATAGCCACATTACAAGTGCAGAAGGTACCATTTCAGCCGATGTCTAGAGCACCTCCTGTATATTCTTACTATTTACTTATTCCTTTGTTTGATTTGAAATAAATGATTATAGTGACTACTAGCAGCAGTAGCAGTCATCACTGGTGGCGTTGCCGAAACACAGACCTCTTCTGCTTTCACAGGGGGGGCAAGGGCTCAAGTTTCGCCACTCATCTCTATGCTGGCATGCTCCGTCGAAGTGGATGGATGGATTGATGTGGCTCTACCCTTTAGGTCGGGCGGCAGGTAACGCCACCTAGCCGTAATACTTAGTGAACAAACAACTACATTTATCTTTTTTTCCCTCCAAATAGTGAAGTATAGGGCTGGTACTTTGCAGTGAATGGCTTAATTTTCACTCGTGCCTTGACTTTAGCCACCAATCAGATAACCTCCTTCTAGTTAATCTACCCGCTTAAAGTCTATTTTGCCCTCCCTGTTTCTAAACCCCAGTGCTTTGAAAAACTCTGCACCATTATCCTGAACTATAGATTGAAGCCCTTCACAGAACATTATCAAGTGTTCGGCAGTTTCCTCCTTCTCTCCGCATGCACTGCATACCATGTCTACCCCTTCGTATTTGGCCCGATATGTCTTGGTTCGCAATACTCCTGTCTTGGCCTCAAACAGTAGAGAAGTATTCCGAGTATTATCATAGATCCATTCCTTTGCAATTTTGTGCTTAAAAGTTCGATAGATCTCTAGTGTGGACTTCTTAATCATGCCAATTCTCCACATGTCAGTCTCTGTTTCCTTCACCTTCTTCTTAACCGATGGTTCTTTTTTGTGTGGCCCCCTGCTCTTTTCTAAGTATTTACCAGTCAATTTTCTAATTTGCTTCCATCATTTTATATCGACATTCTTCATGTACAAGTAGCTGAAAACCTTCCTAGCCCAACGCTCCTTCCCCATTTCTCTCAATCGCTTCTAGTGTGCAGGCCCGAAAGCACCACTTTCCTAATTGCTATTATGCTGCAAACTGTGGTAACAATCTAAACATGAAGAAATCGATTCCACAAGTGAAATTCTACCGATTTCCAAATGAATGACAATATCAGATGAATGGTATATGAGGGGAACTTGTTGCTAGTTAGTGAAAATTTAGTTGCAAATTAGTTGAAATAGTTATACGAAAATACTTCCAAGAAGTGCACCTAATTCTAAGTACATGAGCATCACTGATACACTTCAAGTGATAATCAGACCAATGTTGTGTCCTTTTTTTTTTGTATGTGTCAGTGACACTGTAGCCACAACGAAGGGAGCAGTTTGGGTGTCAGGTGTTTCCGCTCAAAGTAAAACATTTTAAAGTGTCAGCTACTTTCAACGCTTCAACATTTGCTACAAACCACAAACAAAGCTTTGACTTACGGACGTGGCTCGGTGACGTCCTTCAAGAAGAGGAGGAGGTCGAAGAATTTCCATTTTGGCGCTGCCTCCACCGCCCCGGCTCCGGCTCCGTTCTTTTTTTTCTGCTCTCGTAGTTTCCTGGAGAAGGTGTCCCTTAAATTGTGCCATCTATTATATGCAAGCTTCACATTTTCTAGAAAGGAAAAGGTAACAAAAACACATTATGCACTATTTCTCCAAACATTTTAAATGAAATATTCGTGACACAAACTGAGAAGCAAGAAAAAAGAACTCTGAAGGCAAGATGACATGTGATATTCCACGCTTTTTAGTGATTGTTCCATCAATGCTTTCGAATTTGCCACTCAGATATCTCATAATACTATGCACCAAATCGGCCAACACAATTGCAATTATAATGCTTGCAATGACAAAGTGGGCAATTGTTCACAGTCGAAAAATGTTTCCATGTTTAACCTTTCAATGCCACAAACATTGCACGAGCTGTGTACTGTGTAACAATTTCGTACTATATGTACATAACTGATGATTGATGTTAAGACAATTTGGTTGACATTAAGACTGCAACAGCTATGTTAGATGACGCATGAAAAGTGTTTGCAAGACTTTCCGTTAGAAGTGTAAAAAGTGGCTTTCATGTGAGGCCCCTTTACTCGAGGCTACATAGCGGCTTGAGAGGCGCGGGCTCGTTTGCTCGCCACAACACTTCTATGGGGTCATAATATAAGCGCCGGCGTACATTACTTTATGAAAAGAAGTCATAGGCGCTCAAAATTTGTCATTACGTTCCGTTTCCAATCACTACGGAGTGTAACCCGATGGAATGTCACTTGCTAATTTGAAACCAGTAAACATAGCTTTCCAGATTTGCCGTACGTCACGTTTCAAGGTTCGCGCCGTGTGAGTCTAAAACTTATGTGTTTTAAACTTTATCTCACGTGAAAAGCTCAGCTGCGTGCGCAGTTCACACTACAAAAAAGCGCCCGAAAGAAAAAAATATTTGACAATGAAGTACATGTACATACCATCTGTCAAAGCAAGGCATAGCGTGCTGACGACTCGTCTGCAGGCATCCCCACGTGCGTCTACATTTCTGTACGTTGCCGAGCGCTGATTCCACAGTGCCGGCTCCTGCCGCACAAGTGAAATTAATAGTTCAGTGGAAAATCGGGCCGCTTCTGAACTTATGGCTTTGTTGAAATTGCCGGCACCGATGCAGCTACCTTGTCAGCACAAAAATTTGGCAATATGGCAGCTCCACTAGCTGGTTCACCTGCTTCGTGGCACGTCATCGTGATGTTTCCTTCTTCGCGCTGTGATTGGCTGCTGCAATGCGGCGGTGCAACGCTGCGACAAAAATATCCGGCCGGTTTGATGCTCGCCGCACCGGATATGCGGCGGTGCGACGCGAGGATACGTCACGAAACGTCACCACTCCGGCAGTCGCATCGTCGCACCGCACGCCGAATCGCAGAGAAAATCGAACGTCTGTCTCGCGCT